CCACCTGCCTTAAGTTACACAAAGTAACCCACTGGTTTAAAGTTACACAAAATGACCCACTTGTTTAAAGTTACACAAAATGACCCACCTGCTTTAGGTCGTAGGTTGTGGCTGACTGGAAGACAAGCGTGCCGCCCATGATGTTGGGGTAGGTTCCTGTAGGCTCGTAACTTTCTTCCGAGACGGTTTCTTCATCCGTGTCTTCAGACGATATGTCGGAGGTATTGCGCGACACGAGCTCTGACGATCGCTGTAACACACGTGCAGGGTGTACTCACCCACAAAACATGCTCGCGTTAAGTCAAAGTATGATAATATTTAATTAATCATATCCTGCCACATAGAATTTCACTGTTCTGTAGGACAATACTAATTCTATTCAACCTCATACAAAATTGTGTCAGTCATCTCATTACAAAGTTTCTTGTTACTAGATCTAGTTATAACAAACATAGATATGTAAATTGCAACCATTAAATGAGCATTTCATTTATGACATCAGCAAAATTGAATTTTAGATACATTTTAAGACCTTATATTTACTGGCGTCCACTTTAGATTACCCCCCACCCCCTCCCATGTCTGACATAATATCACGGGCAAACGATTTCTGGTCAAACGTATTAACATTGAGAACCCCACATCACAAAATGGTTACATCACAAAATGGTTACATCACACAATGGTTACATCACACAATGCTTACATCACACCATGCTTACACCACACGACGCTTACATTACATGATGCTTACATCACACAATGCTTACATCACACCATGCTTACATCACACGATGCTTACATTACAAAATGCTTACAACATAAAGCGCTTACATCAGAAACTGTTTTACAGTACTAATTTTTTTTTTACCACAAATGCCAACCTGGGCTGTATCAAAATACTTACCCCTACTGTCAATGGTCTGTTTCTCACTACACTTGAATCTCGACTTTTCATCATGGTGACGCTTGTGTTTGCAGCTAATGTCTAGTGGTGACAAAGAGACCTTAGATAATGTCTAGTGGTGACAAAGAGACCTTATATAATGTCTAGTGGTGACAAAGAGACCTTAGGTAATGTCTAGTGGTGACACAGAGACCTTAGGTAATGTCTAGTGGTGACAAAGAGACCTTAGGTAATGTCTAGTGGTGACACAGAGACCTGAGGTAATGTCTACTGGTGACACAGAGACCTTAGATAATGTCTAGTGGTGACATAGAGACCTTAGGTAATGTCTAGTGGTGACACAGAGACCTTAGGTAATGTCTAGTGGTGACACAGAGACCTTAGGTAATGTCTAGTGGTGACACAGAGACCTTAGGTAATGTCTAGTGGTGACACTGAGACCTTAGGTAATATTTGTGACACAGAGAAACAACATCAGAAACAAGATCAGAAACAACATCAGAAACAACATCAGAAACAAGCCAAAGCTTTTGGTCGTCGCCAAAACGATACCAAAAATGAAAAACAAAAATACAACAACAAATGAAAGGGAAAATGCGGGCAAACGTATTCCAGCTGCATGTTGTAGTATGCTGATTTCACATAAAAAGCATTGAACAACTACAGTCTATATCGAAAGCCACGAATAAAAAATTGCTTGAAATATTATATAGGTAAACATAATTTGGGACGGCGTGGCCTAGCGGTGGAGCGATATAATGCTAACCCGATAGTTTCGGGTTCGAATCCGGGTTCAAGTTAGTGTAACGTCACTGAGTCCACCCATCTCTGATGGTTATCTAACTCACGCTAGGGAAAGTAAAGGTGTCTGGGCATAGTTCTGACCACATTATATACCGAGGTCAAGAAACAAATGAACTCCACTTCATCCACCCAATGGTTCGTTAGGTCTAACGAGGAGTCTTTACTTTTATTAATTAGGGGAAATACCAATCAAATTTCGTATTTGAAATGTGAAAAGATAAAAACACGCCTAGGCTATAGAGGCGGATGTACTAAATTAAGCACTTACATCAGTGGCGTAGGCAGGGGGGGTTAGGGGGGTCATAACCCCCCATAGACCCCTCAGTATATATATAAAGTATAAGAGGGGGGGTTGCAAATTGAAAGTTTGAGGGGGGGATGCAAATCGAAAGTTTATCCCCGGGTAAAAATTGGAACCCCCCCCCCCCCTTTGAGACGATCCTGGCTACGCCACTGACTTACATATAGCACTAAAGTAATTATTTTTTAAAGTTTCCTGCATAAGATGATTGTGCTTTTGATTTAAAGTGTTAGCGTCTAATATTTGAGCTTTGATTTTAATATATTGTAAAAATGCTAGTGTTCTGAGAAGACGAAAGTTACGTTAAGCACGTTCTTAGTCCATGCCAACAATTATTAATGTAGTCCTTACGGGTAAACATTGCAGATCCCAACAAAAATAGACCCTAGCTAGAACCTAGATCTAAGAGACCAAGATCTAGATCTATGTAGTTGAGTAAGTTACAAGGATTAAGACTCAGTTAAATCCTCTATACGTACCAAATTCAGAAAATGAAAATAATGATATTAAAAATTACACAATGGAATATTAGAAGAAAATACTTTGGAAGAAAATGTAACTACAAATATAATCATTCATTGAACATGTGAAGATTGATAGACTGCGCTCTTTAAAGCGTCGCGCTAACTTTAACTTCTGGTGTTATTTCAAGATCCGTTCAATAGAGAAATCCCGATGTTCGCACCTCTATACTCCCCCAAGCACATCAAATATGTATTAGGTTGAAGATGTAAGGGATATAATCGAGGAAAATAAAATGCTACATTTATTGGGTTGCCTCCCTTTTTTCCCCTGTTTTTTTTACTTTCTCTTATGCAAGAAAGAATATTTTGGAACGAAAATTGAATATTTTATGACATTTGTGTAATAAGTACAAAATTACTTCCGGTTTCTTTAAGGCTAGAAATAGTCAAAGAAATAATTACTAGTAATATAATAGAAATTTAGCAAACACTTTAAAAAAAATTTGCATTAGTAGAGTCTGTGTGCTGTGGTGATTTCTGGATGTTATATTATTTAATATAAATACAATACTACGCTATAAAACAATAGATCAATATTGTGTAATTTATCATAAAAAACAATAGTTCTGACTTTTATTGTTTTACTCTCCCTGGCCATTCCCGTTGACTTCAAGGGGAGGTTGAGGGCAGTTTTTGAAAATATTTGAATTGATAAAATAATTCTTAACGGCTTTTTAATTGCTTATATTCGATATAAAAATATAAAAATGAGTGTTATCGATGGTTCTCAAAACGCTTTAATTTTTTGAAATGTAACTATATTTTTATCGCTTGCCATATTTTTAAAATCATTTTTTCAAAAAATTCATACCTAATAATCGAAATCGAGATTTTCAAAAAAAGATAACTTGAGTACCTTTTTCAGTTGTTGAGGAAATTTCATATATAGATATTATCTCTAATTTTTAACTTTAACGGCTTTTGAAAGGTTTCCGGTGAACGGAAGTGGCACCTAGTCTATTTCCGGTTCTTAAAAGCTTATAACTTGATCACTGTTCTAGGTAGGTGGACGAAATTTCACAAATAAGTATTACATTGTATGCGCATATATCTTAAAAGTTTTGAACGATTTCCGATAATCGGAAGTGATATTTGACCAAACTTCATAAATAAGTACAAGATTTTTATTCCTGGATAACTTTTAATCATTAAGTCACCTCCGATAACCGGAAGTGGTAATTTACTCAATTTCTGGTGAGTAAAAATATATTGAAAATGTAAGTACAGTTTATTTAGGTAAAGCAAATTTTATACATAGCTAAATGTAATTTGTTTCGTTATCTTGCCAAATTTTATGTGAGTTCCGGTGACCGGAAGTAGTCCTTTTCGCTTGACTGGAAGTGCCACCCTCATTACTGTTATATAAGAATATGCGAGAAAGTTAAGGGGAGATAAATCCTGCTTTATTTTTTTCTCGTACAAGGAGTTTAGGAGGAAGTATTGTAATCGTGAAGGAAATCGAATTCGGAATTTTGTCAAATCTCTAGATCTACGCCTTATACCGCCCTGAGTCGGGAAAAAATCCAGTTTTTTAAATCTTGTCTGTATGTTCGTGAGTGTCTGTGTGTTTATCTGTGTGTGTGTGTATGTGTGTGTGAGAGTTTTAACATGATGATTGAGTACTTTTTCATATCGGAGGACGAAATTTCAAATTTAAGTTTCAGATCCTATTCGTAGGTTTCTTTCAACTTTTGAACGATTTCCAGCAAAAAGAAATGGTAATTTACTTTATTTCAGGTTTCTCAAAAACCTTTAGAATTTGATAATTTCGTATAATTTACACTTTATCGTTGAAAGCCTAGTTATCAAAATTCGTGATCACAATCATTTGGCGAATCTAGTTACCAATCTTTGTCACCACAATCATTTGGCGAATCTAGTTACCAATCACTTGACCACAATCATTTGCCGAATCTAGTTACCAATATTCGTACCACAATCATTCCGCTAATCTAGTTACCAATATTCGTGACAACAATCATTTGGCGAATCTAGTTACCAATATTCGTGACAACAATCTTTTGGCGAATCTAGTTACCAATATTCGTGACAACAATCATTTAGCATCAAGTTACCAATATTTGTGACAACAATCATTTAGCATCTAGTTACCAATCTTCGTACCACAATCATTTGGCGAATCTAGTTACCAATCTTCGTACCACAATCATTTGGCGAATCTAGTTACCAATATTCGAACCACAATCATTTGGCGAATCTAGTTACCAATATTCGTACCACAATCATTTGGCGAATCTAGTTACCAATCACGTGACCACAATCTCTTGTGGTGAGTCTAGTTACTCATGTACACTCGTCACAATTTGTGTGGAGCTACGGAAAGTCAAAGGTCACCTCCAATTCTCAGCCGTCTGCTCCCTAGCGCGAGAAAAAACCGCGGCACCGATGCCAGCGCGAGACGTCTGCTAGTGCTGTGGTCTGCTAGACCTTAGCGCGGGAATTAGTGAACAAGAGCTGTTTAACCTCTTCGATCTGATACGAGTGATTGATTCCGAAGGTAAGCTGAATTAACTTTATTCACGAGAACACTTAGAATTAATAGACATGCTACACTCTACGTTTTAAATATAGACTAGCATTATAAGGTGTTTCAATTTTAATTTTCTTTCTTCTGTTTTTATGTTATTAAAGACAAGATAAGATTTGATGTTTTAAAGAAATTTGATATTGTCTAGCCGGAGACTTAGTTGTGTTATAACTCTCGACATTGAGAATTCAGGGTCGCTCTACTGCAGCAGTAAGGATGATTTTTGTAATGTCTAGTCTTACGATCAAGGCAACGCATGTCTTTCTTCTTGATGTAAACACACCCCGTCATAACAACATGCGAACACCATCAACCTGTACATCTGCACGGCTTGCACCCAGTGTTTCTTTCAGACCTTTTCTCCGGGGTACATTGGTAAAAGTATATATTGTTTATAAAAATTCTATTTCGTTGGAGAGCAGGGGGGGGGGGGGGGGAATTTAGTGGCCGGTAACAGGGTCAACGGGTGTGTGTTGATGGTATAAAAAAAATACTTTCTTTTAACACATTTGCGTTTTATTGCTGTTAACTTTAATCACATTCTAAGTCTAATTATTAGTCTCTGAAGTTTGACCTTTTTAATTATAATGACCATTTAGTGTTCGGCTCAATATTTAGCCCTCTCACTAACTTAACTTATCATCTTAGTTTTAGTTTACCTGTAATGTAGGGGCATGTATTTAACTATCCAATTATCCGTGTTCATATCAATATCACCTTGCATTTAGTTCTTTAATTATCCAACTATCCGTACACATATCAATATCCATGTCCACCTTGCATTTAGTTCTTTAATTATCCAACTATCCGTATACATATGAATATCCATGTCCACAAAATAACATGAAAACTTTTGACATCGTAAAGCGTACCTTGTGAAATATGCATACACTAGGCCAGGGGTCGGCAACCTGCGGCTCGCGAGCCGCATGCGGCTCTTTTGATATCAAGATGCGGCTCTCCAGCTCCTTGTACAAATACTAATAATCTTAATAAAAAAATAAAATATTAGAAATAAAAACAATGTTAGTGGCTCTTTAAAACCAGGAAAATTTTGAAAATTGTAACTTTTGGCTCTTCCGCTTCAAAAGGTTGCCGACCCCTGCACTAGGCATTCTGCCTAGCTTCGCTTAGGTTTTCAAAAACATTTGATAATTTGAATACTAATTATTTGGTGATGGATGAGGCGTGGAGTTCTTAAATCTAAACAGTAATGCTAATTTTAGAGAAGATGTTGTTGTATCTTGTTTAATATCCGCTTTTCCGCTTTCAGAGAAAGCATTCGAAAGTACGCAATTTATAACTAACATGGAAATAAAACTACAGAGGTTCCATGAACAGTATATCTCACAATTTATATTACATTGACTTTTAAAATTAATTTTTTATTTAATTATCATACGTTTCTTAATCAACAACGTATTTTTTTCTAAAACAAATGCTACACTTTGTCGTTTTCTGTTTTTGTTTAAAATAGTATACAATTATTTGAAAAATAATTATTTAAAAAGTTTACCTCCCTTGAAAATTAACCGAATGACGTATGTCTGTGTTTACTTTTTTTTTAAACAGTTACTATGCTTATATAAGAAAATACGATATATAAACATATTTAACGTCTACAATGGCTTTTTCCGGCGGGAATAAAGTTTTTTTGTTACCCTCCAGGGTCGGTCTACGACCTCAAATAATATTAAGGGGATCAATTTATTTATATATATATATATCTCATATAAGGAGAATTTCACTCGCGGTCATCTTTTAGCACTGGTCGAGGGCTTTGAGTCTGACCAACAGTTTTTCCATACGGCCTCGTCATCTATAGAAGTGTATGCAAAACATTAGCATGATGTACAGAGGTTAAGTAACGTAAAAATTATGTTGAAATTACCCTGTTTTTCCCATAAAATACAAAGATTATATAGGGAAATACGACTGGTCAGTTTTGACCCCTTTACGAAGTTTTCCCAGATATGCCGAGTTTTTTGTGACACCCCAAGGCGTTCTCCTACCACCTCACAAAATATCAAGGGGGGTCGTCGGAGGAAATTTTTTTTCGTAATATAGCTCATATAAAGAGAATTTCACTCGCGGTCAAATTTTAGCCCTCGTCGAGGGCTTTGAGTCAAACCGACAGTTTTCCCTAAAGGTCAAGCCATTTACCTAAATGTATGCCAAAAATTAGCCAGATATACTGAGTTTAAGTACCCTAAAGTCAGCGTTGAAATGACCCTCTGTTTTTCCCATAAAATACAAAGATTATATAGGGAAATACGACTGGTCAGTTTTGACCCCTTTACGAAGTTTTCCCAGATATGCCGAGTTTTTTGTGACACCCCAAGGCGTTCTCCTACCACCTCACAAAATATCAAGGGGGGTCGTCGGAGGAAATTTTTTTTCGTAATATAGCTCATATAAAGAGAATTTCACTCGCGGTCACATTTTAGCCCTCGTCGAGGGCTTTGAGTCAAACCGACAGTTTTCCCTAAAGGTCAAGCCATTTACCTAAATGTATGCAAAAAATTAGCCAGATATACTGAGTTTAATTACCCTAAAATCCGCGTTGAAATGACCCTATGTTTTTCCCATAAAATACAAAGATTATATAGGGAAATACGACTGGTCAGTTTTGACCCCTTTACGAAGTTTTCCCAGATATGCCGAGTTTTTTGTGACACCCCAAGGCGTTCTCCTACCACCTCACAAAATATCAAGGGGGGTCGTCGGAGGAAATTTTTTTTCGTAATATAGCTCATATAAAGAGAATTTCACTCGCGGTCAAATTTTAGCCCTCGTCGAGGGCTATGAGTCAAACCGACAGTTTTCCCTAAAGGTCAAGCCATTTACCTAAATGTATGCCAAAAATTAGCCAGATATACTGAGTTTAAGTACCCTAAAGTCTGCGTTGAAATGACCCTCTGTTTTTCCCATAAAATACAAAGATTATATAGGGAAATACGACTGGTCAGTTTTGACCCCTTTACGAAGTTTTCCCAGATATGCCGAGTTTTTTGTGACACCCCAAGGCGTTCACCTACCACCTCACAAAATATCAAGGGGGGTCGTCGGAGGAAATTTTTTTTCGTAATATAGCTCATATAAAGAGAATTTCACTCGCGGTCACATTTTAGCCCTCGTCGAGGGCTTTGAGTCAAACCGACAGTTTTCCCTAAAGGTCAAGCCATTTACCTAAATGTATGCACAAAATTAGCCAGATATACTGAGTTTAATTACCCTAAAATCCGCGTTGAAATGACCCTATGTTTTTCCCATAAAATACAAAGATTATATAGGGAAATACGACTGGTCAGTTTTGACCCCTTTACGAAGTTTTCCCAGATATGCCGAGTTTTTTGTGACACCCCAAGGCGTTCTCCTACCACCTCACAAAATATCAAGGGGGGTCGTCGGAGGAAATTTTTTTTCGTAATATAGCTCATATAAAGAGAATTTCACTCGCGGTCAAATTTTAGCCCTCGTCGAGGGCTATGAGTCAAACCGACAGTTTTCCCTAAAGGTCAAGCCATTTACCTAAATGTATGCCAAAAATTAGCCAGATATACTGAGTTTAAGTACCCTAAAGTCTGCGTTGAAATGACCCTCTGTTTTTCCCATAAAATACAAAAGATTATATAGGGAAATACGACTGGTCAGTTTTGACCCCTTTACGAAGTTTTCCCAGATATGCCGAGTTTTTTGTGACACCCCAAGGCGTTCTCCTACCACCTCACAAAATATCAAGGGGGGTCGTCGGAGGAAATTTTTTTTCGTAATATAGCTCATATAAAGAGAATTTCACTCGCGGTCACATTTTAGCCCTCGTCGAGGGCTTTGAGTCAAACCGACAGTTTTCCCTAAAGGTCAAGCCATTTACCTAAATGTATGCAAAAAATTAGCCAGATATACTGAGTTTAATTACCCTAAAATCCGCGTTGAAATGACCCTATGTTTTTCCCATAAAATACAAAGATTATATAGGGAAATACGACTGGTCAGTTTTGACCCCTTTACGAAGTTTTCCCAGATATGCCGAGTTTTTTGTGACACCCCAAGGCGTTCTCCTACCACCTCACAAAATTTCAAGGGGGGTCGTCGGAGGAAATTTTTTTTTCGTAATAGAGCTCATATAAAGAGAATTTCACTCGCGGTCACTTTTTAGCCCTCGTCGAGGGCTTTGAGTGAGACCGACAGATCTGCCCTACGGCCAAGCCATTTACCTATAAACATGCCAAAAATTAGCCGGATGTAAAGAGGGTAAGTGCCCTAAAATCCGTTTTGAAATGACCCTCTGTTTTTCCCGTAAAATACAAAGATTATATAGGGAAATACGACTGGTCAGTTTTGACCCATTTCCCGATTTTTCCCGGACATGGCGAGTTTTTTGTGACACCCCAAGACGTTCTCCTACCACCTCACAAAATATCAAGGGGGGGTCGTCGGAGGAAATTTTTTTTCGTAATATAGCCCATATAAGGCGCCGGTCAGTCGAGGTCAGTTTTGACCCCCTCTCCGTAGACTTTTCGGCCAACCGTCACCGGCCCTCGTGTTCTATCGCCCCAAGGCACCATCGTGCCAAATTTGACGCGCCTGCGGCGCCGGGAAGTGCCCTATCGGGCACCCGACAACTTTGCTTTATATATATAGATAGAACTTGATTATACACGTACAGTTTTGATTGACAAGGCAGGGAAGGTGGAAGTTATACATAGAGAGGAACAACGTTGACACAAAACATACGGACATTTCCTAGACAGATAACGTTGACATTGTCGAGATACAAAACATACGGGCAAATTCTAGACCGAATTAAAATGGAGACTTTGAGAAACCATATCTAGCACAAGGAATATAATGCTGAATTCAGCGGCGAATTAGACCCCCCCCCCCCCATACTTTCACACTACAGCTCATGTAGATTCTTTAAATACATTTTCTATGCAACAGCGTGCGATAGTTACTGTAGAACAATC